CCCAAAGAATTCCCTCTGAATTTATCTTTACTTGGATCAGAAGTTTCTGACACAGCTGACATTTCACTTCTGATGGCTGCATGCAACACTTGAAAGCTGACGTTCAGGTACTTAAAGAAGAGGTGGGAATGGGGCAGTGGAATGATGGTACACCCTTAGCAGTTACTGCTCTTTGGTTTCTCATCACCTGTGCTGACAGGCACAGTGCAGATATGACTTCATGTAAGACAAAGAAAATGAATGAAGAGCAGTCTTGATTTCAGTCTTCATGAGCTGAGCCCCAGAACTTTTGCCTTCAAGTCACTTTGCAAGCCGCAACTTGGACGACTGTTGTGTACACTGTGTGAAGAACCAGCATGGGGCTGGCTGCTCGTAGGGCTGGTCATGCCATGCAATTTGAGAGCTTGGAGAAACATATGCATCAGTGTAGGTTTACGTGCGCATATGCATTGTTACAGTGTGGAGGGAGAGTGAATACAATTTTGAGTATGGATTCAAATCCACCTTTAATTGGATCTTCACAGAATCTCAAAGCATTTATTGGTGTAATAAAACTGCAGGTGACGTGAAAATCTTTTGTTTGACTCAAACCTGTGTGCTGTCAGGTTCATTCTTTTTTTCATTTAATTTTTCTGAATATGGATGACTCTTCATGCCTTATTGCAACATCGTGCTTACATGGGCAGCTTACTGATTCAGTGCACTTTTTCCTGATGCCTCCTCAGTATCCATTTAGGTTGCTGTTTGTGTTGTGTGGTTTACAGCTTGGAATTACTTATTTCTAGCAGCAATTTTACGTTGTCCGTCTTCTTGGCTGATAGCAGAATACTAGAAATGTTCCTTGTTAAACATGTTTATATCATCTTGTGTTGTCTAATCTCATACTTCAAGACAAATACTTCAAAACATGTACTGAAACCTGTGAGTTTCTCTTAAGTCTTTAGCAGCATTCCGTGAGCACCACTGTCTATTTAACATCAGCCATTGGGCAATAAAGACCAGCATTTGCATCTTCTTTTCCCTACCTTTGAGAACAGAAATAGATGTATCGCAGCTTTTTGCAACATCTTTGATCCAGGCCCTCTTCACTGTTTGAAAACTAGTCCTGAGTACTAGAATGCAATCTCCTGACAGAAGATCTTTTCATTGGACCAGAAGCTTAAAATGCATGGACAAGATTTTACAGACTCTGTAGAGCTGGAGCTAAAAAACCCACAAGAATTTATTTTTATGTATTCCATTCCTCTGGGAACAGTGCATTGGTGGGTATTTATCCCAGACATGTATTTAGCAGATCTCCTTAAACTAATATGCATTAGGAGGTGGCTCCTTCTGTTTCTTTTCCCAGAAATGTGTATTAACCTTTTCTAGGGTTGCTATAATTCTGCTTTTTAAATACATCTTGCTGTTTTGGGTTGCTCAAACCAGTGCTAGATGTTCACATCACTAAATGCAGAACCCAGAGGATCTTTCTGCAGGTGTACTTAGACTGGTGAGGACTTGCTCAGCCTCAGCACCCTGAGACGGCAGCAGTGGGGACTGGGAGGTGCTGTGTTAGGTGCTGAGGGTGATGGATAGGTTAGTGAGGATGGAGATGGGGGGGTTCATGGTGTACAGCCTGGTGTGACAGGTTAGGAGTTGCAGGCTACGAGGCATTAGAGGTTACCATGGGATACATCCCCTGCTCTAGCATCTCTAAGCAAGACCCTAGCTTTCAAGCAGGGATGCACACAAGGGGCTGCTCTCTATTTCTTGACTCCCTCACCCTGTCCTACTGCTTAGAAACCTGCATGGATCATTGCACCCACGACATCAATGAGTCTCGGCTCTGGCTCAGAGTTTTTCTCATGTAGATTAAAATGCAAGGGCTGTAGGCTATGAAGAAACATTTAGAGAAGATTTGAGATTAAATGTGGTATGTTATTAGTAAAGCTGCTTGCAAAGCCGTGCAAACTAGCAACACTCTCTTCTAAAATTTAAATCTAAGAGATAAGTCTACCAAGTCTTGCAAACTTCAGTAGATGCTGAACTAATTAAAAATTACATTTTGGAAAAAATGATTATTTTCTTTTTAAAGTAAAGCACATGGGCTTTTTTTTTTCCCCGTGTGTTTGGGAAAGGTTCTTTCAAAACAGTGATTGTTTTACCAATAATTCAACACTTCATTTAAAAGCACTTCAAATGAACATGCAAGTTTGTACTTAAGCATACGTATAGACTTTTGTCCTATATTGCTGATATCCAGTTGTAGTCTATCTACTTTTAAAAGGAAATTCTACTATAGGACTAGTATGAGTCCATATACATTAAGAGAGCAATGTGGATGGTTGCAGGTTTTCCCCTTGGATTGCTTTCCCTAATTATAGATCTTAATTTTTTTTTTTTAATGGCAAGAAATGCATAATGCATAATCCATATAATCTGAAGGGCTCTAGTGTTTGGTAATGTATGTTTTAGATTGATGTAAAATAATTTGAAGATTATACATTCTCCAGAACTGAGTTATGCTTTCAGCTGCTGATGCTCTAAATTTCAGTATTTTTCTTCCAGTTTGTTCATTCTAGAAATAACAGCTGAAGCTGTTTCCCACATCACAGCTGAACAGTTGTCATATTTATTTAACCAGCTCCATCTGGCTTCCAGTAACTCCCAAATTTCAGTTTTTCACAGCCATGCATGGATTCCTGCCATGCCCACAGAATGCAGAGAAAAATTTTGGTCAGCCTGGTTTTGTTTGTTGAAAGAAGGGTCCTTTCTGCAGAAGAGGTGACTAAATATTTTTCAGATCATGCCCTCCCTTGGAGATTCCTCACTCCTTAGAGGAGAAAATGCAGGTCTTCTGGCACAGTCCTGTTCCTGGCACCTCTGCATGTGGAAAAGGTTTTTCAGTTGTGTTTTTTTGGCCAGGGTGGAGTTGATGAGGTCAATCTGCTGCAGCAGCCAGTGCTGAGCTGCTAGCTACCTTCCAGCATGCCATGGGGGCCAGAAAGGTTTGGAGCCAGCCATCATCTCACAGTCCCCATGGAGAGCTGCTGCCCTTGGCCTTTGGACATCTCTTTGGCACACCAGGTTCAGAGTGGCCTCTGACAGTTGAATACCAGCTCTGTCGGCCATGCAGCCTGCAGTTTGTGCTTATCTTGTTAATAAACCTCCCTGCCACAATTTAAAAAGGAAATTCTTTCACATAGTCTTTCTGCAAGTACATCACACTGGATGTGATATTCTTACACTTGCAACTAAGAGCTCATACCAGGGCTGCAGGCAGGAGTTGTCTTGTACAGCACAGGCTAAATACAAATTAAGCAGAAAAATACGAATTTAATAGTGAAGAAGTACTCATGACATAGGAAGGATTTTCAGGGTGTTTGCATTTAAACTTCCCCCCCCGCTGAATGGAGAAAAGTTGTACATACATCTCTGATTTTAGGAATTCTAGGTTTCATTTATCATGCAAGACACAACCCCCATTTCATTTAACAAATGTAACAACCTTTTTTTTCCCCCCAAGTCTGCCAAATCACCTGATACTTTAACTTGCTTCTGGTAAGAATATGCCTTGACCCTTCATTCTACCTGACTGCCTGGTGAGGGGCTAGAGATAGGCAGGGGATGAGATGCAGCAGCCTCACTGAAATGCAGCGAGCAGCAGCCTTGCTCCCCAGTTGCCTCTGAATCTGCTATGCATGCAGCGAACCCAGAGGCATCCATGCACAAGGTCATGTTCCAGATCTGAATTGCAGAGATGTGTTGGTGCAATGCGGGGAGGCGCATCTGAAATGGCTTGTAAAACAGGCACAGGAAAGAAAGGACAGAAGATAGTATTACTGCTGACGAACAATATTTTTACTGTTTAATGGTGTTTACTACATATGTGGATTCAGTTTGACAAGAAGACAGACCTGCTTCCCCAGCAGATGTTGTCTTGCTGGAATATATAGAGAGGTTTCTCTGTTAGCCTGCTGGCTAGTGTCACTGTAGGGAGTACAGAAAAGCATTCCTTCATGGTAATGTGAAGGGAGTAGTGTGTCAGTGAACTGTAGTCACATACATGGTAAGAAGTGTAGTCTGAAAGGAGAGAGAGTTACAACATTACAAATAGTTAAAGGGATATTTAACATAAATGTGATCATAAAGGATGTGAAAATGTCCTATCACTAACATCTTATGAGAAGATAGTTTTATGGATAAAATATGTATGTGATATTTAAGGCAAAGACTCTGCTTTATGGAGAATTGAATCCAAGAAAATCAATGTTTTAAGTCATATCTTGGTGCTCGGTCATTGTAAGTCTGCTTTGGTAGGTCTGTTCAGGTGATACTTCGTTTTTGTAGGATGCATGTGCTTTAAGTAGGCACTTGGAGAAGGAGGACTGTTGACTCTTTTGTCTGTTTTTATTTCTAGCTCTTACAAGACTCTGTTAGGTCTTGTGTATCTGTGATATACAAGATATCTGCAACTGAAATAAACTTTTAGATTCTCTAGTTCCCAATAATTAATTTTGGGTATCTGTAGTGTAAAAGCAAGACGGTGTGTTGGCAAGATTTTGCATATTCAGATCTCCTTTGAAATTTCACAAAGATTGGGAAAAGTGATGTTTCATAAAGTCCAGTTTCTTAATGAGGTCACTTTTCTGGCATTTATGTAGGCTTAAATTGATCTAATTTTCTTACATTTTTTTTCCCCAGTAGTGGTATACTTACCAGATACTCTCTCAAGGACACCATCTAATTTTTAAGACTGAGAAATAGGCATGACTTACTAACTTCTGCAAGCTAGAACCTTGAAGTATGGTGTTTTTTAAACAACATTCACTGTTCTGTGACTTTTATGTGAAAAAGCTTTTATTTCTTTTCATATATGTACATGTATGCACACATATAAATACATTTAGAATGAGCCTTATGCAAATCCTTCTTGTTATTAAATCACTTGTTAAAGTACAGTAGTTGAATCTACACTGTCCTCACAGTTCAACTATTTTGTTTTGTTCTTTACACAGGAGCCCTTACCAAAGTAAAGGAGAGTAAGCGGCATGTGGAAGAGGGGAAGATGGAGCTCCAAAAAGCTGAGGGCATTCAAGAACGCTGTAACATTATTTCTTTTGCAACCCTAGCAGAAATTAATCATTTCCACAAAATTCGTGTGAGGGACTTTAAATCACAGATGCAGCATTTCTTGCAACAGCAAATACTCTTTTTTCAAAAAGTGACACAAAAGCTAGAAGAAGCTCTCCACAAGTATGACAGTGTTTAATCTGTGAACTTTTGATTTATGAACTTCCCTCAGCATGAACGTGACCCAGGCAGCAGAGCAAATGCTGCTGCTGAAGAACTGTTGCCAGTGGCATAGGGTGGTACAAGGATGGTTTTGTGCTCACCTAGAACCCTGGTTTAATCTCCAACTATGTAGAAAGGAAACAGTTATAGGGCTATGTAGTAGAAACAGTACCACGCATTGTAACTAAGTTATACTGTGTATGCCTACACTACCATTGTAACTCTTTTGAAATATTGAGTATACTATTTGCCTTATTGCTTTTTAAAATATGGTATTTTAGTGCATACTTTGTAGACCTCAGAACCCTTTGGGTCTTTAAGGAAGCTGGCGAGATAAAAGCCTGCTTCAGATGCCTTTTTACTTTCCTAGATTTGGATTTCCTAAATTCAAACAATTCTCTGTTTACAGACTCCTACTAGAGCAGCTATGATTCTGTGCCTTTAGACTCTATTTTTTCCTTTTCTATTAAGTCACATTTTTACGATTGAATGAATGAAGGGTTGATGCCTATGACAAGAACTGATTATAAAACCTCACAGTGACTGGAAAAAAAATCAGCTGCCATCGAGTTTGCACAGCAAGTACTGTCTTACGACAAATGTTGGCTCAGAAAGGAGGACTTAAATCTATTCACATTTTCCCTGAAAATGGAGACTACTTGTTACATGTAGTAGAATGTTAAGCACATATACAAAAACACACCACTTAATTCCCTTTCTGAAATTATTAATACAGTGAGGGTTTTTTGCATTTTTTTAGTATACAGCATTACTGTGAGTAGGTATTTGAATAGCTAGCCTAATAAAAATTAGGTGTATTAAGGGGATATGAATGCAAGCAATGTTGCATGGACATTTTTTAAGTTTAAAATGATCTGCTCATTGTTCTGTTGCTGATTCAGTTTAACTTTGGACTTGCATCTACATTGCCAGTTGTCTTGAGTTGAAACTCCACTGTGATTCATTAGTTTACTAAGTTACAGATTTTCAGGGATGTTCAGTAATATAAATGACCTGAAATTAAGTCTTGGCTGAACTGACTTGGAAAACAGGTGGCATTTTAATGTTTGTAACACTCAAGAATTAACAGTTGTCTTAATTTTTGTATAACTATTTTTGACAAGCAGGGTGCATTTATATATACGTAAACACTATCTTTTAAAGATTTTTCTGGCTTATTTCCCTTTAATTTTCTGTGTTCCCTACTTAACTGGTTTCCTACTTACATGTCAGTATGAAAGAGGCTTTTTATTTGTCCTATCTTTTTTTCTCCTAAGCAAAAATAACAAAATCTTCAAGGAAGCAAAATGTTTACTTTTTTTGTTTTTAATTAAATTAGTCAAAGATAGCTTAAACAAATTAAAGCCTGGAAAAGGAAGTTAAGCAACAGTTACATTTAAATGCAAATCATTCCTCACCTATGCAGCAGAAACGTGGTTTTTTCGCTGGATCATGTGAGTTTTAGTAGCTTAACTCCACACCTCTGTTTTAAAGGAATAAATGTATGAACGTAGTTTTGTTTTTAAGATTCATCCCAATTGTTTGGATATTGCTATTTTACGCAGTTTGCGTTTGGCAGTGCTTCTAGTACACACCCAAAGAAGTAAAATAGGGTATAATGAAGAGGAAAAAAACAGCATTTGTAAAAGAAAGGACAATCAGTGAGAAAAGACTCCATTTCTAGCTGGTAAATAAGTGCTGCAAACAGCAAAGTTGACCATAAAATAAGGACCATAGTCATAGGGCTTGATTTGCTCTTTATCTTCCTTGTCTTCTTCTATTTTCAAAACTCATCATTTCCCTTGAAAGCTCTTTCCAGCAGTACTCGAGCTTCCCGTATGGTCCTGTATGTCTTTGAATTATGTGAGATAGTGATGAGCTAGGTTTGAGCTGAGTTCCATGGCTTATGTTTGCTTAAGCCAGATACGGTTTTATTAAATGTCTTTGCAGTAATTACATCAAACTACAATCAAATTTATTTTATGTGGAGGTATTAAGACCTGTTCAAAAATTGATCTTTGTCCAGTTTACGTATTCTAGAAGGTTAGTATTAATGACATGTACATGTCCAGGAGCAAATAAAGCTGTGATATGTATACATACAACATTATCAGACAGGTACAGTTTTCCCAAATAAACTGTCATGGCCTTCACCTAACTTTCTGATTTGTGTCTTTGGGGCAGGTGGTTAAGTTTTGGGGAAAGTGGTTAAATTGGTTAAACTTGATGTACCAACAAAGCCTAACTGGAATCCTGGATCTGAATTGCTGCAGAGTACAGAAAGTTTCAAATCTCCATCTATATTAGCATCTTCCTTTTTTCCTCACTCAGAGTTGGAGTTAAACTGACGTAGGGAGCCTGAACTCCATTAATTCTTACTGCACTATGAGAGAACTACAGTTTTAATTTTATTTGGAACAAGTAGGACACTCATGACCACTCATGACTGATGGACTACTGGATGGTGTGGTCTGAGATCCAAAGGTACTCTGCACTAAAGTGAATGTATATTGTGCAGGGCTATGGAAGCATCAAAGGAAATCTAACAGAACCCTTTAAATAAATAATGTTGAAGAGCGCAAATTAGCTGTATAGCACAATATTAAATGCCTTTGCTTTATTTCTGTACTTTGGTTTTCATGCATCACAATTTCTGCATTGACAAGTAGTATCTGGTATATATGTTAGGAGTTAGAGAGGTTGAATTGAAAGCTGCAAGGAGATCCACAGAGGTACTGGTTACTGTTTGTTGTCTGAGACTTGCAGAGAAGACAGTTGCTTCTATTGCATCTTTTCTAAGTTCTCTCTACCAGATTCAGGTCCAATGGCATGGTATACTTCTCTTAGAAATGTTATAACACTCAGCTTAGAGATACCAGAAAAATTATGTGGTGATGAAACATTCAAGAAAAGCACCAAGAAAAGCTGGAAAAAAAAAAAATAAAATGAAATAATATGTTGGGTATAAAATTGAAATGTCTTTTGAAAATGTGAATCAACTGCCTCCACTGAAAATACCTACATTATTTGGTGATGCACAGTTTTCTTTTTGGTGAACTACAAGACCCTGTTTGCAGTACCTTCTTGCTTTGTCAGACCTTCACTATTCCAGCTAGCATCTTCCATGCTCATTGTCTGTTCCAGACTGAATTCTTCTGGGAAACTTCAGTGGAAGTTGCACAGCTGTTTCTCAGAAGGAAATCATAAAAATAAACCAGTTTTTATTTTCTCCTTAAATTCTCTAAACTGTTTGGTTGGAAAGCTTTACGTCTTTCATATTTTGGAGCAAGGACTTGAAATTTGGCAAGCACGTTACCTTTTGCATCCTCAGATATGCCTGCTGCACTGCCTGTGAAAATTTGTCAAATATTTCCAAGTAAAACTATGGTTTCTCCAGCCCCTACTGTGTTCAAGTTTGACGGATAAATTTTTCATAGCTCCCCTTTGATCCAAGCAGTCTTGGTTCTAACCTTGGTCAGCAGTGGCTAAGTGAGACTTTCTCTGTTTTTTCTTTCACCTAGAAGGTTGAGCCTCCCAGACCAGAAGCTGGGCAAAGGAGCAGTTGGAAGGTCCTAGTGTAGCTGCTATTTGAGCCTGGCCATGGGAGGAGAGAAGCAGAGCCTGAAACACCAGATTGAAGTTGGGCCTGGCAGCTACAGCAAAGTGGAGGTCAGAGGTGGTCTGGGAGGAACACATGGGGACAAAGATCAGAAAAGGGACAGGGATGAAAGCCTTGTGACTACAAAAGCCTGTTCCTCCAGTCCCTGATTATACCTTGGGCTTCCAAAGCGTCCATGGCCTTTTGCTATTAAAAAACTATAGTAAGCAGGCACAAAATGGGTAACCTGAGTACTGGTGGTGAGGACTGCAACGTTCTGTTTCTCTTAATTGAAATTACTTCCTTTGCTTGATAGTCAAATGTCTGATATGGCAGTTTAAAAGTTTAACTCTGTTGATGAGCTCTAGGCTTTGGGGCTGAAGGAGACAGTGTAATGCAGTCTCTTTCAGGCAGTACTTTTGGTGTTGGTACAGCTTCATGTTTCTGTTGTCTGGGTTTTTTCTTCGAAAGGGGAGAGGGGATCAGTTTAGGAAACTGTATTAAAGAAAGCTAAGATTGATCATTCAGTAAAAAAAGAGTTAGGAAATCTCAGAATTAAAGTTGCCTGCATAAGAGGACAAAATAAATAATTTGCATGAAAAGTGTGCTCTCCATTTTGTGTAGGCTTGAGTTTAAACCCAGGACTTACATTGGAAAAAGCCCTTGGCATTCAGTTTTCACTGAAGGTTATGGACATTGTGCTTTGAATAGAGAGAATGCTACAAAATGCAATGTTCTCTGGGAAAAAAAAAAATCAAGAATTCTTTTCTTTAGGTAGGCCACCACAAATTACAGGACATTTGCAATCTGTCAGTTGCAGATGGGGAATAATAAACCCAGCTCATTTTGCTGGAATATTGCAAATATAAACTAGTTTTCAGACATTGCTTTACTAAGCTTTAAAAAAACATCAAACCCTTCTAAGGAAATCAGTCGTTAGTCTTCAGAATGAGGTGTGAGTACTATTTGGCAAGTAAGGATGGGGCCATGCAAAGAACAGTGGGTAAAATAAATCTCTAAAGTAGTCTCAGTCAGGTACTGCTCATTTAGCTGATGGAAGGAGAAAGACCTTCCCAGAAAAATCGTACACAGTTATGTCATTGGAGCCCATTTTTGATGCATATTCACAGAGAAGCTGAATTAGTCGCAAGTTACCTTATTTCTACATTTCTTAAGTTTGGAGATGCTGGGTTTATTTCAGTCATTTCTGAATGTAGCGAAGTGCAGTGTAATACATGCTGTACATAGGAACATAAACTGTGGAATACGTACAAGTAATGTAGCTTCAGTATACTTCAGACTCATGCAGTTAGCAGCAGAGCTCAGGCATGCACTAATTTCCACACTGATGACTTTTAGATACAGTAAAACTCTCAATTTTCTAAAGTTAAATGATGTCTCCCATACCAACTGTCCGATAGATTTGCTACTTGGCAACTCCATTTAAAACTAAGCACTTAATTTGGTTCCAATTTGAAATCAAGGAGAATTTTTTTCCTTGGCTCCACTGGGAAGACTGTTAGGCTCTGAGTCAAAATTACATCTGTCAACCCAGAGTATTCCCCTCCTTTGCTGATTACAATTGAACCTAACCTACAGAATTTGAAGTTGCCTGTCAAAAAGCTCTTTCCTGTAATTTCAATAAAAATACACTCCTGGTGGTTTAGGGAATATGACATTATCATTTGAACAAAAAAAAAAAAAATCAGAAAGAACATGTGAGGCTTTACTGGTTTTAATTTTAAAAAGCATTTCCAATGAACATGAAAGCATTCTGTGAGAAGATAAACCCGGGGGGTTTAGTTCTCTTTTTTCTCTCTTTTGATCCCTGTAATTGACAGTAACAGCAAAGTTTTTATTGACAAAATAATGCTTCACATGAGGAGCATAACATAAATGCACAAAAAATTAAGGAGCTAGGTGAGGTAGCCCAAGGTTCTAGTTGCAGTGAGTTAGAGTGGCTGTATGTCTCACAGTTGGTACCGATTCACCCCATGCTATTTAAGGTTTTCCTTTTGGAAATAAAAGCAAGAATCACGTTTTTTTCACTAAAAATAAAAGCAAGGAATTAACATTACACGAGTCCTCTTGGGTAAGAGCTGTAGGAGACATTCAGTTCCTTCTCTGACCTTGAGAGGCACTCAGCTGACTCCCTCTCTTTGAGGAGGGTACTATACCCATCACCTCCATCCCAGTGCTTCTGAGGGTGACTAAGGAAGAGCTGCAGCAGTTTCAGTTTACCAGGCAGTTTCTGGTGTAGTCGCAAATACACAGGCGATGTTGCAAAACATCACTTGCAAAATAAGAAATGTCAGAGTCCTCCAGTGTCATTCTGGCGTGGTTCTGCCACATTCAGTGGCTTTTGTTTTGCTTCTCTCAGAGAAATGTTGCAGATGAGATAACTATCCTAATTGTTAAATCAAAGAAATTGAGGACCGTGCTACTGATTCAATTGCCATGTCAAGTCTGTGACAGATTTTATCTGTCGTGTAGATCTCACTTCATGCAACTGTGAGAAAAATAGGAAGGGTTTTTCAGAGCTTAAGAAGGGTGGGGAATGCAAGCAAATATCCTGTTTGCTTGCATCCTTGTTAAGGATCTGTGAAGCAAGCTGTATGAGAAGAAAAATCCCTGATGTCACTGTTGTACCAGTTGCGTGTTGTGTGCGTGTGTAGCTGTGGTGTAGAAACAGTCTGTCCACTGGATTCATGCACGCAAGACCAAACGTGCTAATGAAAGATTGCTAGATGGTAAGGGAAGTCCATCTGCTCCATTACCTTCTTCAGCAGAGTCTTTGGTTTCATGTTTGGGGTTTTTTTTTATTTTTTTCCCCTTCCCACTGTCTCCCTGGGACTCATTTGTGAATAAGTACAAGCAGTTGCTCTCAGACAGTTTGGGCTGTTCCATAAGCAACATCCATTCACAAGCTGCATGCTGAAAGGCAGCTGGATCTCTGCTTTAAGGTAAACAATGTGTCAGGTTGCCTTGAAACGGAGTTTTGAGTGGCATGAAAATCACATGGAAAATTGAGATTGTGATGATACACGTTAAACCCTGAGTAAAAACATGGCTGATGCATCACCTGCAGAGGCGAGCAGCTGGAGCTGTTGTCCTGTTGGGCCTGTCTTTCCTCCAGGTGGCTGTAAGCAAAGACACTTCAGCCTTTCAGTGCCTTGAGTAGGTGATTTTCCAGTTTTCCAGGCTTAGCTGTTCATACACCCCCCCCCCAGTGGTGAAGCAGCATGCAGTAGTTCAAGAACTGATTGCTCACACTTTGAACCACATTTAGGGAATGGGTTTGGCCTAAAGAGTTGAGCAATATACATCCCCATTCCTGGGGGTGGGGAAGAAAGAAATCTAACTGCTCCCAGCAGCAACCAGCTAAAGGGCAGACTCTGCACCTTGGAGCATTGCTTGGTGCACTAATGTGGCAGAAAAGCCTGTCTAAAACTCAGTAGGGCAGGAGGATGGGAAGGAAAGAGGAAGCAATTGTCGCTTTCCTCCTAGTTTGAGTGCAGACTGGGGAGCTGTGTGTTTACAGACAGAGAAGGAAGCTGG